TAACGAATAATTGTTCTTAGCTAAGTTTTTTCTCAGCCTTTCTAACTCCTGTTCCTGATCATTTACCTCCGCTAGACGTAAACTCCTTATCATCATTGATTTCATTAATTCTATCTTAACACCATAAGTATGATGCGAGAAGAAATTAAGAAAGAAACCAGCATATGTGAGTTTTCTATATACATCTCTACCCAGTTTGTTGCCTTCTTTAGTAACTATGGCATCTACAAAGGGTAACTTACTGTCCTTTTCTAACTCCATCGTGAATTTAGTCGCCTTATCTTCTCTATTCATTAACTCAAGGAAGTCTTTCAAACACTCTTTGCCATGCTGCTAGATAGCAAAGTAATCATCCATGCATCTGACAAATAGTTTCACAACTAGCAGGGACTTGAAAAAGCCGGACTTCAATTTGAGCCATGCAGTTATTAGCCAAAATTAAGAGACAAACATGATCCCATAGATAAACCTTCGATTTGCTCGTACGATTTACCACAAAAGATAAAATATTTACTATTCATTATCAAGTTTGTCAATCGCACGCTTTACTCCTTGCTCATCATATTCCCTCATACAGACTCTGGGTGTAGGTCTAAGGTTAATCCTAATGCCTGTATGGCTCCACTTACCGGTATATTCATGTACATTGATACTGCAGCAAAACTTACTAGCAAATCTGCTTGTTATGTTGTTTGCTCATATATTAACCCAATGAAGGGGTAGGAATTCTTTATTGAAAATTTCCAAAAACCTGAGATTGGCCTTAATTGACCACATAGGAATCATGAAGTTTTATGCACCATCCTTATTGTTCACGATGATCTTAAGTGGGACCGCCTCTTCGTGGATTTTGGGCAGACCACATGCATTAGGAGGTCTAGCGTAACGTCTAGCGTAACTTTTCCTATTCTCCACTATTAACGCATTGTTGCAGACAACTGTTCAGTCTCGAAACAGTCTAATGAGATGTATTCACCCTATTTCGTGTAAGGTGATGAAGGACTGGTAGTAGAATTTTCCCACAATGACGTTTCCATTGAATTTC